CCAAGTTTTGGTAATTTAATCTTTAAATTGCAGCTTAATGTTGCTGTGTCATTTTGATCTGTTCTAAATATGTGAATGGCACTGAGTGCACACTGTAGTCTGATTGCAGCTCAAATACAGCAGCTACAGTTTCACTTTGAGACATGCTTTTGGCTGTTTTTTCCTTTCTTAGAAAAGCAAAGTCTGTGCTTTCATAGTATGAGGCTTTTGATAAAGCCATCTTAAACAAAGGTATCCATGCAAATAAGGTATTTCCAAAGAAGTTTAGGAGGAGGGATGGTGTCGATATCGGTATCGGCAGATACGCAAAGTTGAAGTATCGGTATCGGTATCGGAAATCAAAAAGAGGTATCGGTCCATCCCTAGTAGAAATACTGAGTGTTTTTCTTTGTCGTGCATCAGTATATGGAATTTTTTTTTCTTGGAACTGCTGCTTGACGAACAAACAAATCACATGCTGCTGTAACATGCACACATGAACTGCTCAGATGGATGAGTAGAAAGGCAGTGTTACAAACAAATGATAAGCAGTAAAGTCAGTTTGGGTGTGACTTCTGTCATGCACAAATGTATGGTGTAATCTGATCAGTTTAATTAAGGCTCATGTTTCAAAGTTAGCTGCTTGAATACATTTAATCAAGGCTGTTAATGTGTGCAGGAAACAACCTTTTAAAAAGCAACACAGACTAAATAACAAACTTTTGCAACCGGTGTGTGTTGCCATAAGTTAGATAAGCATCAGTTTTCATGGAGGGATCACAAATCATGAATTCAGATGGAAACATTTTGTCCATAACACAGACAGCAGAGGGTGAAGTAGGTTGTTGTTTGGCCCAGTCTAATGCTGTGGGATACTACAGCAGCTGCTCTCCAAGACTAAAGGATCCATTCTTTCAAAATACTTCTAAAATTACTGTTTTCTCAGGTTCTCAGGTGTGTCCAGTGAGCTCTATAAATGTTCTATATTTTTCTCGGCTTGTAGATGGCTTTTTTCTCAGCTCCTGTGCCCAGTTACATCGGAGCTGAATAGAGAACAATAGCATAGCAATACCTCTCTACAGTTTATTTATTATTAAAGTTTTCACAATAAAACGTCCATTTTATGAGGAGGTGGAACTGCACCCCTCCTCCTTTGCTTCGAGTCATAAAATGACTGACAGGCACCGAGGGCTGTGCTCTGAGCGAAGCTTTGAACCGCAGCAATGGAGGCTGAGCAAAAGCTATTGCAACCAGTTTTGATGCCTACAGGTCAGAACATAAGTAGGTTTACAGGTGCTTATCATTGCGAGAGAGTAAAAGCTTCACTTCAGCATTTTATCACGTATGACAGCAATGACAAGTGAGGTTTAAGCTGCAAGGGACAGATTGTGTGTGAGAAGAAAAAAACAACAACCTGAGTCTTTATTGGGAAACATAAAAACATAACGACATAAACTTAATGACCAAACTGTTCTTGTTACGTTTTTACTTTCTGCTGAACCATAAGTGCAAGGACATGCAAATTGAAATTTACAAAATAAACACGGGCGCATTTAGTTGTTGAAGACAGC